TTTAATGTAGCGCCAAGAACATTCTTATGAGCGTGGATGTGCCCTATTATAAATACGTGTAGATACAGTGGCCTGGACACCATGCACTCCAAGTGGCTAAGGTGTCAATGTATGCATGCACGCAAATGGGAGTACACATTAAACCTTGAGTGTAAACTTGGTTGGAATGATTGCCCAGGAGGCAGACATACAACGATTCTGCTGGCAATATCTGCGCGTCTGCTCAGATCTATCAATGCTGCTTGTACTGAGTCTAAGTAACTTCTATTAATCTAAGAAGGCACAAACTGCAGGGGGTGGGGTGGGGTGGGGGGTTTGTCAGAGATGTGCTTACGTCAGAAGATGATGATTTGAAGACGGATGATAAATACGGATTCCTCTTTCTATGCAAAGACACGGAGGTGAAATCGCATATAGTCTGGTTGAAAACGAAAACTGGAGGTTAAATCTAAAGCTGTGTTTCAGGTGATTTACTCCGAAAACATTTACAGAGAAAATAGATCCAGTCCATGAAGAAAACACTAAGGTTCAATGAATGTCTTCTCCAGAACCTATGGGCATCGCCTTGTCAGTTAATTGCAGACATGCAATATTCAAAAAGACCATTTCGAGCATGAAGTGAAATAGTCCACATGATCATCAGGTGAAATACACCAGCTGTTTCGGAGATTCCTGGGATGACATGAGCTACACAACGACTCCTTGATCTCAACAGTGTGCTGAACCTGGTGCTAGCTGAAGTACAAACGTCCTGAGCACAGCTGAAGTGTAGCGAAACCCTCAGGAAATATACCTTTCTCTTCAAAGCATGCATGAAACCCAGTAGACATAAAAACAGTTCCACGCATATAGCCCAGTTTCACGCCGCACTCAGCATTATTCCAGCAATATGATGGCGAAAACGAAAAATGGTGACAATTTTTATGGATGTACAGATTCTTTTATTCTGGGAAGATTCTAATGTCTATGTCGAAACGCCGCCCTTCACAGAATAAAAGAGGTTGTATATCCATAAAAAAATTGTCATCCTTCTTCATCAAATCAGCTTCTAAAATGCCCATCAAAGAAGTAATATGATGGCGGTCTGTAACTAATCGAGTCTGGACCAGACAATCCAGTGATCAATAACATGAGCATTCATCTACAAAAGTGGGATACGATGACATGTGTCACCAAGTCAGCGAGCCTGACTACACAGTCCCGTAAGTCGCCTTTTACGACATGCATGGGTTGCTGCAGATCAAATCTAACCCGAATCTAACCCGGATCTTCCCTGGTAAAAGGAAGTATATATCTTATGCATGAAACCCAAGAGACATGTGTATGCACAGACTAATGGATGGATGGACAAGGACCACGGGAGCTGTGAAACGTTTGGTCAGTTTTTGGAGTTTCATAGGATTCAGCGCTATTGGATATATTTTATTACATATTACATGTTTTTGTTCACATAAAAAAAACCCGACTACAAACATTGTGATTGCATGCCATCTGATTTGGTACTATAGGTCTGTGGCCTCTTCGGTAGTGGAATAAAAGAGATTTGAGTAACGGGAGGATATAGTTTCCCTCACAACCACCCACATGCACATTTTAAACTTACGCTTCGTTGACTATTGTTGGTAACGTTGTGAACGAGAAGCTGATTCCAGGAATACACTGTTTGTCGACCACTTTAACACAATCATGTGCTATGTGGATTAACTGAGCACTGTTAAAGGATTCATGACATGAAGGCTGTTTTTTCATTTGAAAACACACATTAGACAGTCAGATAGTTACAATCCGATTTATATTTCGGGGATAATAGTTAAAATTACACTTGAGTGTTTGCCAGTTCATTTGACCCGGCGTTAAACCGAGGCAACATTTTCTTTTTCAATATTCGTTCACATGTCTTTTGTCAAAGCCACTTCGCTGTTTCAAACGATGTAGGAATCGGCTAAATAGCATGAGGGATACACGGCATTTAAGTGCTGCACGAGCCTTTAGATTTGTGTGGTTCTTTAACAAATGTTTGGCTTCATTAAGTAGCATAACAGATGAGCATAACAGATTATTTACTTTTTCAAAGCAAGACGGCGAACCTTTGTCAAAATGTGGGAACCTTAACGGTTTTCTTGAGCTTGACATAAACTGTCGCGTATTAATTCTGAAACTGCACAAAAATAAAATAGAAAAAAGGTCCTTGATAGTCTAAATGGGCTTTGTTAAAATGAAGGTATTTGTGCTTTTTATCTAACGACACCCAGAGCAATATCCAGCTGACAATCCAAACTGAGGTCAGGTAGATACATTCATGACCCGAAGAAGACGATGGAAATTTGATGGAATTTTCATTGTTCAAGCACGGACTGTGATCGTGTTACACGTGCATTACAACTGTAACTGAGTAAAACGTATTTATATATGGAAAAAAGTAATAATATACGGATTTCTATGGCATATAGCAAGAACTTAAGCTTCATCGTGTGTGTTCCATTTTAACTTTATGTTTGTCATAATGCAGGAACCTAACAGTTGCAAACAGGAAAGCTGCAACATATAGTTTAGAACGGACACCTCGGGAGGTGATATCATGAACTAAAACGAGGAGTCATTTACCAACATAATCAAAAACTGTTCACTAAAGTTGGGGGCATATTTAACTTTATCGGTAATTCTTTGCGTTACCCCAAAACAAATGCAAAACAGTACAACTAAAACATACTGGATAATTTACAAACGTAATTTATGACATTGAATATGTTCATCGTGGACTGATTTATGTCGGACAGAACACAAACATGAAACATCCAGTAAGAAAAGGCCATGGAAAGAAATGATCACCATTTTATAACTAGAAATTAATTGCAGTCTGAAATTTGGAATGGCAGAGAAAACCATTCATCTTATACCCTGATATGCGGATGATCTAATTGTCACCAATGTCACGGGGATGTAATTATTGTTGTCTTGTTTGCTTATTTGTTGTTTAATGCTCAACCCGGGGATATTCCAGCTCTATGGCGGAATATTGTAAATAATCGAGTCTCGACCAGTCAATCCAGAGATCAACATCATGATAATCGATCTTAGCAATTGGGATACGATGACATGTGTCAACCCGTTATCGTCTCTTAGGACAAGCATGGGTGCCTGAAGATCACTTCTAACCCGGATCTTCATGGGGTTTTAAGTACTACAGGACTAACTGGCAACGATTATGTGTTGAAAATAGGAAAACTGAAGGTAAACTAATCATTTGAAAGATGTCTGGTCTCTCCTTCTGGAAACAAAGAGACTGCGCAGAGAAAGAATACTGTATCACTAAGACATTAGTGGATCTTCAAACAATATTTACCTGTGTGAAACATACCTGTAGTCCTGACGCGTTCGCTACGTTCCGTTTTCCATACACAGAGAACAACCCATAACTGCAGAAGGAAATGATGGCTTCTACTTTCGATATGGCATTTGACTTGTACATAAATAACTTGACTGTTGGAAGGTTGAAGACATCCTCTTGTTATAAAGTCGTGTGGAAAGTGTCATTCTAAATCTTTAGGGATAAATATACAGAGATGACACGTCTCACCGGCCTCGTACAGTTCATTTGGGCAAATAAGTGGAAGGGAACTAGCTATTTGATGGCCATTGAATGATTTAATATATCGCTCTACCTCAAGCTTGGGCTTTTTATCTTAAAAAAGAAAGTAAGCACATGTCACTTTATCGGTAACTTCATAGGAAATGCATGCAGTTCAACTCTGGTTTGTGACACTTCAGTACTGCTGGGTGTGTTTTCTTCAGTCCTAAATCCATTAACAGTGCAGGAAAGAGTTTTCCAATAATGGAAGGGAGACAGCACTACCGAGATTATTTCGAGGTCCCAGCCAGCGGTGTTAATGTACTCCATAGAGTAAGTAAGCGCATAAAAGAGGCCAAACAACATATACCTGTGGAACAAGTGAACCGCAAGAGCGAGAGACACTGACACATCGTGTACGTAGGGAGTGCTGCTCCGCCTGCACCTCGCCAGCAACAGCTGACATCAGCCTGCTAAACATGTTTCTCAATGTGGCTATGTCAATATAACATTCTGAATAACTTTTTTCTCACTGTATATTTTAAAATTAGAATTTGAATAACCAGGGTAGTTTTTGTTCTCTTTGAATTAGTGCTCCGAGAAGTCAATGGGAGTAACAGTTACAAAACACATGCATTTCTTTATTTTAAAAAACGGTTTGCAACATGTCATACTTTTTCAGACTTCCCATAAGATTCTAGCTGTTCGGGCTTTTAAAACACTGAAATGATTGCCTTTGGTTGGAAAGTTTGTCGAGTGAAAGGAGGTGTCACCGTGCCAATTCATTACAAGAGTTAGCTTTATGGGCGACAACGCTCACTTACTGTTCAGGCCCCGATTTCTCGAAACAAACTTAAGTCTGAGTTTTGACTTAAGTTAGAGTTTTTGCTCAAATTTGAGAGAACGCATTTCCCAGAATCGATATTAAACTCAAATATAGTAGACAATTTGAGTTTGAAGAATAGAGTACTAAATTGTTTGAGCTCTTTTATTTTAAAAATGCAGCCAAGTTAGAAATTCAGCTGCTTCAAATTGTAAAACTCAGTTTGAAATTGGAGAAAAAACTTAAATTTGTTTCGAGAAATCGGGTCCAGATACAGCCTTCAAATTCAGTATATGTGACCCATGTAATCACTTAGTAGGGAACACAGGGAGTGGGCCGGTGTAGGACAGGGAAATAATTGTAACAAGTATTGTTAATGTTGTTTCCAACATTTTCTGAAAGTTGTTTTATGGGACATTTAATTTGTTTGGCACTTCAATGAAAATGTGATACTGTGTTGCTGCCGTGTAGATGCCCTCCTTTGGGTTGTGTTGACAAATTACGTGAATTTCCTGTGAACATACCAACACCTAGTGCGGGTTTTTACGGATAGTCAATACCGGCCGATAAGAGCCAAGCCGAGAGAACATAATATTATACGGAAAAGGGCGAGTTCAACCGATTGTGACAAACCATGCTCGAGGACACAGCCAGCGGAAAGGTAGACTTTCTGTAGAGTACATGTTGTCAAACTAATCACTCATACTGGTATTGTTTTGTTTTGTCTATCGTTATTCATTATCTAACAGACGTTTGCGAGTGTCAATACGTTTTGAAATAGTGATAATAGTGAGAATTTAACAGGGAAGTTGTCTACTTTCGTTATCACTATAAACGATGGCCTCGCGATGGTGATGTAAAATGCAGCAATGGAGATAACTGGGTAAATCGAATTATACAAGGCTATTATCATTGACTGGCTCATTGAGTTGAAAATTTAACAGTGTTCAGGTATACATTCAATCGTTCCTTCTTCTGTGTTTTGTGCGACAACTTACTGTCTGTGGCTAGGGGGCGTGTCGAGCATGTGTAGTGTCAGTGTTTGCCTTTGAAAGGGGTCGAGGTTATCCGTGAGTGAATAGATAACATGTAATGCTCCAAGCCGTGGCGGTGCAGATATGTGGGTTGTGTTTGCCACGCCTGATCATCATGACAGGAAGGTAGGTTTTGGCCGAACTACCCTGTTAATATACTGTTCAATATAGACAGTCAGAGAAAACACTGTGTATACCTGAATGGGGAACGGGGAGGCAAGTCCATGACATCATCACCAGCGTTAGTAACAACAGGCTGGGGCTCGACGTTGTCATAGTAACATGTCAGTCCAGGATCATGTAGCTGCATATATAGCCGAAGATGATGGGTGAAAACCTGGTCTCGATACTGTATGGTAGTAACATATTCCTGGACAACAATCAGCTGAGATTGGCACCATTGTCACGAATACGTTCCCAAAATTATTATGGACTTGCATGGTAAATAATCAGGTCAATAAGATGTCAGTGTTCCCAGTCTGACTGCTCAGATATAGATAGATAGATAGATAGATAGATAGATGATAGACATGTAGATAGATATCTCTTTATATTTACTATGTGTCTGTGTGTGTGCGCGTGTTCGTGTAAAGCTTCACATACAGATGCGCGTATGTTCAGCTCAATCATTGCTGCTTATACTGAATCTAATTAATTTCTTTTAAACTAAGAAGGCACAAACTGCATGTGTATCTTACAGATGGCGACCGCCGGGCTAGAGAGGAAAGTAAAGGATAATTTCCTGACGTGCTCCATCTGCTTCGAGATGTACACAGACCCGTGTACACTGAAGTGTGATCACACATTCTGCAGGAAATGTGTCACCTCATACATCCAAACCAGACCAGATGCTGTACAGTCCAAGACCATCCCCTGTCCCTGCTGTCGACAAGACACCAAGGTCCCCCACCCCAGGAGGCCGTTGGAGGAGTGGGCGTGGCAGATCAAACCCAGCATCATTATACAGGGGCTGATTGACACCTATAGGTCCGAGGTGACTGTGCAAGGTAAGGTGAAAATATGATATGCGTGTGTGCGTGTGCATGTGCGTGTGCCTGCGTGTGTGTGTGTATTTAAAACCAGTGGGAGACTTAACATTGACATATGTGTGTGTAAAAAAATACCCTGCTTCCTTTAGTAGCCTTTTCAAATTGCGATGAAAATAAGTACATATGTACTTGTGTTTACAGGGACCTCAAGCACCTGTTGTACGATCTGTCAGCAACTAGGGGAAACAACTCCAGGGGTCTTGTGGTGTCCTGAGTGTGAACTGGTCCTCTGTGACAAATGTGTGAAGACACACCGGGTGACGCCTACTTTATTGAACCATGACCTATGTGACCTGTCATGTAGGTCAAGGGTCAAACGGATGATCAAGTGTACGGAACACAAGAGTAAGCGTGTTGAGTTCCACTGTCAAGACTGTGGGAAGGCTGCCTGTCAGACATGTTGTATCATCTACCACAGAGTTTGTAAAACTGTCGTCACCATTGAGTCTATGAAGCCAGGGATGAAGGTAGCACTGATGGAGAAGAGACTTGGCATGGAGAAGAGACTGAAAGTGAGGTCGAAGAAAGTAGACATACGAAACGAGAAGCTCCAAAGTAATTCTAGAATCACGAAGTCAGCTGTTCAAAATATAAGGTTGATCTGCCAGACAGCCATTTACAAGATTAAACAGAAAGAAACACAATCCTTGGATGAACTGAATACCATATCACAGACATACGCCGACCAACTCCGAGCTGATGTGAAGCTGAAGAGATCGAGATGCAGATGTACAGACAACATTGTGAGTTCATTGACCAGGCCTTGGTATCGGACTGTGAGATGGACCTGTATGACGCGTATCAGGTCTGGGAGTCTGCAGCTGTAAAGATGGAGGATGTCAGAGGTACAGAGGCAGCAGACACCCGGAGAATAGATCACATCGGGTTTACACCAGACACTGTAAAAAGTCCTGAAGGTCCTAGATAGTCTGCAGTTTGGGGACATCGACGTCACATACCAGGACAGATGTCTGTCAACTCCTGTGCTGGTTGACACGATAGATGGGAGGGTGGTGGATGATGAGAAGCCTAATCTATATGATATGATAGTCCTGGTTGTAGATGGTGTACAAACATGTGTTGTTACGGACAATGATAACATATGTGTGAAATCTTTCTTCACAAGAAATAATCATTCATGCCATAGTAAGCTTCCCCTGGATAACCGTCCAAAAGGGATGACACAGCTGAATGAGAAGCAGGTGATGGTTGCTGTTCCAGACTCCAATCAGATTGTAACAATAGAAGTGACCCCTGACCTGATGCTGCTCTCAACCATTACAACACGTACCTGGTACTACTGTCTGGCTGTTCTGAATCCTTCATCTCTAGCAGCAGGTTCATGGGACAGCATGCATATCCTGGACATGTCTGGACACGTGTTGAGGTCAGTCACTACATACAATGATGACTCACTGTTTTCCTTCCTCGAATACATGTGTGTCAACAACAAGGGCAACATACTTGTGTCTGACTGTGGGAACAAGTCTGTGACATGTCTGACGTCAGAGGGGGATGTTTTATGGAGATACAACCATACCGGACACAAAGCACTCGGCTACCCTTATGGTATCACAACTACCACAGGTATCACAACTACCACAGGAGACATCCTGTTTGTAGACAGGGACACTGACAAGGTGATACCGCTGACAGAGTCGGGAGAGTTTGTCAGTGAACTGCTCACGTTAGAAGATGGCGATCAGACAGGCATGCGCGATATATTTTGTGATAAATACGGTTTCTTATTTCTATGCACAGACACGGTAGTGAAAGAGTACGTGTTTGTCTGACATAAAAATCAAAAGAATGAAAGTCAGTGCAGAGCTGTGGTTTATGACATTCTGTGCATTGTGTTGGTAAGGAATGGCTTGTGTCTTCACCAACACGTATGGGCATCGCTTTGTCAGTGAATTGCAGACATGCAATATTCAAATAGGTCGTTTCTAGCATGAAGTGAAATAGTCCACCAGGTGAAAGATCACCAGCTGTTGTGGAGATTCCTGGGATGACCTGAGCTACACAACGACTATTTGATCTCAACAGTGTGCTGAACCAGCTGAAGTTTGAAGAAATCCCTAAAGGAAATATTCCTCTCCCTTATCCCTATAATAGACTAAAGCTAAGATAGAGTCTGGGTATATTATTTGTTTTTCGAGAAACGAAAAACATTTTGTGTTGGATAGAATTGAGGAATAACGAACCCGGTGTTGATTAGGTGTTTTGTTACTCGGAAGTGTACATGTTTCCGTGTATATGACCGTGTATATGTGTATTTAGAATGATCTCATCATCCGGTCAACAAAGCATGGGCCCAAACAAATTCCAAACGATATTTCTAGTAGTAAGCGATGTTTCCTAAAGCCATATATAATTCCTTTCAAAACGTTTAGACTCTCTAGTGTAATATACTTCCCATCAAAAGTTTAGACTGTTTTAAGTGAGTCTAAACTTTTGAAAGGAAGTATACAAATTGAAGTCTTGAGGTCAAGGGTATACTGTATCTCTGTTTTCACATATTATACACAGGTGGCACTTTGTTGAAATGTCACCCCAAGCCAAATTGTTTTATTGCTTGTTAGGAAGTAAAATGAATGTGCGCAGTTTTTATTTTTGTCCGTTAGATGACCCTGAAGATGAGAAATTCATGTGATAATATGGTTGGACAAGGAAATTTAGTGAGATTTCAGGTGTCAAATTATATTATTTCGAAGAGCAAAGCTAACATTTGAAATACTAGACGTCACGTTTCTATTTTGTGCACCAATTTTCACATTTTCTATACATCAGACCATTATATTGCACATGTATATTTCACCTTTTGTTTCTGTTTTTCTTCGTTTCTGTTTGTAGCGATGAATGAACGATCGCGAGTTGTAATTCAATGGAATGTGGTGTCCTGCCGATTTGAACAGCTGTGCTATAGTGATACAGTTAGATGGGCATGAAGACGAGAGACACACAAAATACTGTGAGAAGACTATACTAGAGAGGAGGTCAAGGACATTTGGTAACATTTGGCTCCACCTTTGATAGATGTAATTGCTGGGACGAGATCACAAATCTGGGATACCATTCTAAGATATTGTCAGTCTAGACTGGACGTATATTTCGGCTGGCGACAGTTATTCTTTGACGGTGATACTTTTGGTAAAAAAAGTTGTAGGTAATTGAATAGGAAACACATAAGGTGTCAGTTTGTTCAAAGTATGTTTCTTTCGGTGTTAGTGAAATGGGACATACTCTGTTTATGAAAGATGTCAAGCATATTTGTAAGGACCCATGGAATTCCATTTTCATAAGATATATGATTACAATAATAGGAAGGATACAGTTTCCCTAACAACCACATGCATGATCATTCCTGAAAATTTTAAACAAAACCCTTTCCACATTCGCGGAAAAATTATTAAAATTACACTTGAGTGTTTGCCAGTTCATTTGACCCGGCGTTAAAATGAGGCAACATTTCTTGTCTTTCTTTCTCAATATTCATTCACATGTCTCTGGTCAATTTCACTTAGCTGATTCAAACAAGTTTCCGGAGCATATCAGATGAGTGGCTGTGCCCTCTATAT